GGGTCAGCATAGGAGAAACCAAAGTGCTATGAAAACTTACGGAAAGGGGAAGAAAAGGATTTCTGATGAAATTTATCTCCAGCCATTATCAATAGGCACATGGAAGAAAGTGGGAAGTGTTTTCCAGTCTCCAAGCTCAGCTGATTCCTGTAGCCTGCCAGTGCCTGCAGCCTGGCAGCAGCGAAGAGGCATGCAAATTTTTTCTGCTTTTCAGAGCTCTGCATCAGTATTTCAGAAACACTGTTGCTTGTATAAAGCACCTAAATTTTTCAGAAACTACCTTGAATTGGTGCTCAGGCAGACTGCTCCAAGGCCAGCCCAAGCAAAGCTGTGTACACAGTGCTGGAGGGTGGTGGGCACTCTAGGTAAGTGATCTTGATAGGTACATTCTGATTGATGGGGGAGTTTGTCTCCCAAACTGTCACAGGGTTTATAGAGGTGCCACTCAATACCAGTGCTGGAATTGCTTGTCAGAGCACCTGGCTACAAGAGCAATGGGGATTGGAGACAGAGCTGTAACTTTGTTTTTTCTCTGCTTAATGGCCCAGGCATCTGACCTGCCTGCTCACTCCTGTTTGTCTGGACCTTAAGGAGGCAGCTGGGATTAAGACTGTCAGAGGATTGTGCTGCTTTAGCATCGGGAGACTAATTGTGTTGGGGCTGGCAGTGTATGACAAGCGGTTGCCTCCCACCAAGTGCACAGCAAGAGCAAAAAATTCTTTGACAAGGAAAGGGAAAGATATAGGAGGGTCTGCACTTTGGTTTGTTCTTTTTTCATCTGAAAGCAGTGTTTTCAAACTCACATGTGGAATTACGTTCTTTAGGCCTTAGGTGACTCTCCTTGTAAGATTCGCAGCTGATCCTGTGAATAACAGCCTCAGGATCGTGTCTCTTGTGAATTCCTAGGTCAAACTCACAACTTAACATTCACTTGTCGGATTTCACTTTATTAACACGTTGGGATAAAGTTCTGGTCCTCAGCATTGACCTCTGGGTAGTGGTGTTGGCTTTAGAGGTCTGCTCTAGGCAGCGTTGCTGATGGCTGTGAATTACTGCACGACCTTCAGAAGCCGAGCCTTGCTGAAGGAACCCTTCCCCATTCCCAGTGCACGCTATTGAATAACAAATCACCCAAGAGTAGTGGTAGGGGGTCTTCTGGAAGCTCCCATTCTCCTCTAGTGGGTCCAAAACAATGCCATTGCAAAGGCCATTTTATTCTGCTTGATGCCCTCTGTGCTCCATTTCACATTTTCCTTGCTCCTGGATGGCAGCGTATGCTGCTGGCAGGAGCTGGAAGTTGTGAGCACTCTTTACACTTGGGTTGAGTTAGCGAGAAGCAGGTGTGATCCTATCAGGCCTTCCTTGCATTTAGTGGTCCTCTTAATCCATTTATAACAGCACTTGTCCAGAAATCTGGTTTGAATGAGCCTGAGATGAATGAATAATGTCAAGCAGTTCAGACATCAAATATTTGAACAGCTGCATGGGTGTTTTCACTGGCTTTGTGCATGGAAGCAACCCTAGGAAGTTAGACAAGGAGGGTCAGGTCGAAATTGTGGCACCAAACCCCAGCCCGCCGGAACTGGCCTCAAAATCCATCCCTGCTGCAGATGAAAGGGTGTTAGGATGTTGGTGGCAGGCCGTTCGCTCCACAGGTGATGCTGGACCAAGCTTTACATCCTGTTCTTTGGTGTTCTCTTGCATGCAGTGGCAGTACTGGGATTTACGGACCTTTTGATTCACATCGGAAACATGTTTTGTGGATTTTGTTTTTCCTTTTTTTTAAAGCAGCCTCTGAAGTCCTAAAACTGATAGCACAGCTTATATTCAGAGTCTTTTTCTGGATACGTGGAGGTTACTTTGTTTAGCATACAGTTTCTGAATCAGTTTTTTTTACCGTGTTGCAATGCATTGTACTTGATCATGTTCAAAAAAAAAAAAAACCCCAACAAAATCCATATTTGGTGAAAATCTGAGAGTTGGATCACCTTATTGCAGCTTCCTTCAGGCCCTGGCCTGGGAGTCTTTGTTTGATCAGAAAAGAAAATTGGCCCTTCTCCTGCCCCTCATCTTAACCTATGAACTTCTCTGCTATGCCCTCCTCTCTGACTGAAATGCTGTATCAGATCATCCCAGTGTGTATCTGTCACCATAACACATAGTGTCCAAACCCTTCCTCTGTACCCTCCCTATGTAGTGGGGATAGTAGGCTCTGTTGGGAATGCAGTGGTTCCTATTATAGAGCTAGATTTAGCAAAAAGTCTGCAGAGTATTTTCCTTACAGACTTTAAAGGGATTTTCTTTAAGTACAAAGGTTTTGAGAGCAAGGACACCAGGATTCTGAAGTCAAGGTGCCTTAATATTTGTAAATTGTGACGCAGTAAGCAGATCTTCTTTTCTTAAGCTCTAACCATAAACCACTACTTGTCTTGAGTCACTTGGAAACAAAATTGATGGAAAGGTGCGTGTTTGCTGTATGCTTGGCATCCTTGCAGAGAGAGGGACACAGGGAGCGGTTCCACTTACCTTCACTGTTTTGGACACCTTTCCCCCGCCACAAGGCACTTGCTCCAAGTATTCATTGTCTGGCTAACATTCAGATCACCTCCAGGACTGGCCAAGTCACAGCTCCAGCTTTGCATGATTTGTGTTTCCCACAGCTACAAGAAAAATGAAGACCTGTGTGTCCAAAGTTTATGGCCTTTGAGAAGTGATGGGCTAAAGTAATGCCAGGTGCAGAGGATGGTGTTACTGCAGGTTAAATGCCGTACCTGTAAATTACCACCCCATCGCCCACTGTGACTTCTAAGGCAGCTTTGAAAGACTATCCAGCTTCTTTGACAGGTCTCTCTTACTCCTCTAAATCTTCTCCCAAACATTGTGGTGAACTGAAGGATTCAAGATTTACTAGATGAGCCATTGCAGCAAGAGAAGACAGCTCGTGACATGTGTTGGCTGGCAGCGTGCAGCCAGTATGTGAAACACTTTATAAGGGGTCTGCTGGAAGAGGGCTGCCCCAGTGACACTGCAGAGCTGACCTACGAGTATGGCTCCTGCAGTATCTGGCGTAGACAGTGGATGCTGCATTGTCGATGCTAGTTTTGTTACCTCTGCTGAAAATCAAGGCTGGCAATTACTTTGAAGTAAAAGGTAGTTTATGCTTCTAGGGAAAGGTTAGTCTTAAAATCATTGTCATGCTACAGTTATCACTCGTTAAGGACCTTCTTTATATTCAGGGAAGAGAAATATCAAATCCATATAAACAAATTTTATTGGGGGCTTAATGAATCAGCGAGAGCATCCGTTCCTAGAGAGCGACGGTAAAGAACTGTGTCTGCACGGTGTCCTTGGAAATGAGACCTTCGTCTTGCCCTGCTCTCTGCACAGATGCAGACTATTAGAAATATAGCTCACTCTTCCGGGCTGGGAAAGCGCAAGTTTGCTGCTGACGGCATGAGCTTGTGTAAGTGTGCTGGTGAGAGCCCAGTGGGGTGAACAGACTCAGACATCTGTAGCACTAAAAGGGCTACCCTAACGCTTGGGAATGTCCTCGTTCTTCAGACATGCGCCTTATATTCAGTGCTTCTACATTAATTTTAGCCTGCCTTCTGCACTTAGACCCACGTTCACAGTGTGGAAATGTACCACTTTTGGGGCATTTGTGCAAAGCCAAGGCTACGTCTACCTTACTCTTTCGGTGTTTGCAGGTGGGATGTGCTCCCTGGTCTAGCCACAGACTTAGGTCACCAGCCATCTGGATGTGCCAGGTCCTTCAGGCTCCAGCAGGTACCCTCTGTCTGTGAGCCAGGTGTCCAGGTCTGCTGTCTAGACAGTGGGATGCTAAGTGAAGGAGCGTACTGGAGGCAGCCAGAGTGAGCAAATTTCTATCTGTGTAACTTATGTCCCCAAACAGCTTAGATCCGCTGCAGAATTGAACGCAAATGAGGACCTTGCACCACCCTAGGATTCAGGAGATCTTTGCTTAATTTCCAATCTCATGGGAGAGAGCACATCCAGTGTTAGATCTCATAAAGAGTAAATATATGTCTTCCTCTTCTATTAATACACCTTAGGCGGCAAATACCATGTGAAGGTTCATCTTTGTAGGTGTTTGCACGCAGATTCAATTAAAAGAAGCCTGGTTACAATGAGCAATAACACAGTCAACAAAATGCTTGAGAACCAAAATAAATGTATATATTGTTAGAAGGGGGCAATTGTTAGACAGTTTAGTCTCGGGTGGAACTGTGTACACTTGCTTCCTGCTGGAGTTGGGACTGGGCTCTTGCCTGATCCACCCTTGTTGGAAGTGCAGGACTCTTGTTGACTTGCACTGGAATCTGCTCACAGAAGAAGTGCTTGTAAGGGGCTATTAATGACTGTGGAGTCTGATTTCTCTCCCCCACCCCCGACCCCCGAAACAGGTTTGCTATTCTTAAATGCTTTATATTGTAAGCCATAAGCCATGACTAAATGCATTTAAAAAAGAAAAAGGTATTTCTAATTGTATTTTAGCCTCTGCCTGCCCTCTGCATCTGAATTAAGGAGTAATTCAGAATGTCCCTGTGGCCTTCTCTTACCTGCTAGTAGTGTAGTTTTTGTGTTAACCACTTCTATGAAAAATCAGTCTTCCCTATTTTCTGTGAAAAATCAGTCATCTTTATTTTGCTTCCATTTTTTTCTGTCTTTGAGAGAGACCCTTCCAGTGCCTTCAACTTTAAAATAACTCATGTGGAGAGCAAAAGGTCAAGAATGTTTCGTTTTCAGTGTTGAGGGGCGTTTTAGAGCATAAAATCCAGGAAGTTAGAGCATTTCTGTGAGTGTTTTCTGTGCCGTCTTCTGAAAATTGTTCTTGTGCAGTCTTTGGAGATGGTACCTTTTGTGAGGCTGTTAAGAGTAAAGGACAGCCTGCAGACTGGTGCTGTCGCACCATCGTTAGGACATTTCCTACACTTCATCTCCAGTTCAAATGCTCATCCACGTGTTTTATTTTCTTCCAGGTTCTGGGTTTATCATGTGCAGTGGCAAGGAGAATCCAGACAGCGACGCTGACCTGGATGTGGATGGAGACGACACACTTGAATACGGGAAACCACAGTATCGTTTTTGAAAGGCTCTTATTGAGAGGGAACCTGGAGTTGCATCTTCAGCTAGCTTTCAAACAGCACTGCTCTGGGTAGTGGTGGATAATCTGTGTCCAGCCCTACTGGAAATGGCACCGCCTTCCCCAGTTCCCATGTTATTTGAACTAGGAAGGATTCCCAGCTTTGAGATCCTTTTGATGATGCAGCACTACTTCAGACCCGGTTGGTGAAAATCTGCGAAGATCCAGTTGGTGAAATCTGTAGGAGACATTGCAGGAGATCAAAGTTAGCGTTTCTCTATTCTGTTTCATAAGCAATCTCTTGTCTCAATCCAGGTTTCTTCCATATGGATAGCTTTTCCTGCTTCATGGGTAGGAATTGAGTTTATTTTCCACAAGACACCCCTTTGTTTTCAGGGGTTTTGTGCAGTAAACATTTCAAGCACTACTCACCTGCCACTCTGAGAGACTGAATTTTTTTCCTTTCGTTAGACAGTTCATGGGCAGAACTATCATTAAGGGCAGTTTTTGGGAACTTCTCCATCTGGGAGCCAGGCTCTTCGGACACAGCTCTGGGAGAGACGTGTGCAGACTTCTGCCCTGTAGCAGCTGTACAGCCATCAAGGAAGAATTCCTGCAAGGGTATTAGGCAGACATTGCCTTAGCTGTGATGAGGGGGAATGTATAGCTATAGAATTAGATTTAATTGAAATCTGTACCGGCCTTTAAGACTGAAGCCCCAACCCTTAGCTGGTAAATGATCTCTGTACTTCAAACAGAAATAGTGGAATTGTGCGAGTTAGGCTTGCACAGGTTGAGGAACTGGTTTTCCCCTTCTAAGAGGCTGTGGCGTCATGCTGCTGTCAAAAGACTTTACTGTTTCTTTCCACCTAAACCAAAACTTTAATCCGGGATTTAAAAGCAAGCCCCTCCTTGGATACCAGCCCCGCTTCTTTTGAGGTGTTCCCAGTTGGAATTAATTTGTTCTGTATCCCAGATAGTGTCCCAACCATCTCAAAAGCCTTTCCACTGTCTGCAGCAACGCTGTACGTTCCTTAACCCCTTGTGCTCAGGTACACAGAGGCAGACGTTATCCCTTGCACTGGGGAAGAGCCAGGTGAAGCCAAAGAGAGGGAGGCGCTCCGAGGTGCTGTTTTAAAGTAAGTACTGTGCCTTTCTAATTTGCTTTCATTACTTTTGCGGAATCTCAATTTGGAAAATAGCCGTTCACTTGAGCACAAGAGTCACAATGAGAGAGACTTAGTGTGATGGGTGGGTCTCCATTTCTACCCGTGCAGCCTCATAAAGCCTCCCTGCACACTCTCCCTCCCTTAACCACCCCACTGCCCAGCCAGTGCCGTCTTCTCCCTGAGCAGTGCTGGACAGAAGGTGAATTCTGGCGATGGGAAACTGTGCTGTACTAAGGCCTTACACATCATCTTGCTTCACGATGAAATGTGGCCTCTTAGCAGTAGTATAACGTGATGCCATCCGAATCTTGTTCGACACATTAGGAGTCTGGCACCTGGGGTTTGATTTCATTGCATCCCATTATGTGTTGTAGGGTACACAAACTATAATCCTTCTGCCTTCGGCTCTGGGGTTGGGGCAGATCGGGGCAGGATGTGTGCTCTGCCTACATACATATGTGGAGGATGTAGGCAGCCAGCGTTCAGGGCACTTGGGGAAGCATTTCAGGCAAATAAAATGAGTCTTAACAGGGAGGTAGGATTGCTTTCTAAGCCCTCTGCCCTGCATAAAACAGGGCTTAAATTACCCCTCTATCTCTTTCACTGAGTGATCCTGTGAGGTCAAGGTTGAAGTGATTGATAGAGCAGTGAAATGAAGTTTTCTTACTGCTTAGCTTGCCACAAACACTAGTTCAAAATTAGGTTGCACTCCATAGAAAAATGGCATTTGCCACACTGGATCCAAACCATTGGTCTGTTCAATACTTAGCTAACCGTGCTAGTCCATAGGCAGGACCTCAAAGATGATGAAGCTCCTTCACAGCCAGGAAAGTGTATTGTAGCAGGAGGATATCGGGGTATCCCTTATCAGTGCCTGTGGACACTTAGTGCTTGGTGAGACGACTGGAGACCTGAGGCCAGGAGACCCAGTTCTTTCATGTGGCTTGCACCTAACACATTGTTTCGCTGTTTGGGCAAGGTCCTTGCATGTCTCCTGGACTTGTTTGCCCATCTCTAAAACAGGAGAGATGATGTTGCTTGTAAAAGCACTTTGAAATTCTGGCAAGTTTCTGTAGAAATGCAGTAGGGTAGCTGATGCCCTGAAGCATAAGCCTACATTACCTTTTGAGTGCAACTGTCTTAGCTCATAGAGCTAAAATGTTATACAGTCACAGGTGTGCAGCCTGCTCGAAAGATTCCTTTCTCTTACAGTCTCTGTTACTGGCTTGCAAGAGAATGGACAGGGTCAGGAGTTGTCTGTACTTCAATGCTGTTGTTCTTCACATGGGAAGATGGAAAAGATGGGGCTTGTGAAGGTGTAAAGTTATTCTTAAAGGGAGAAGCTATTGCAACACAGAGGATTTCTGTTCATGAGTAAGGTTTTCATCTTTGAAATTGTGTATTCAAAAATGAGCCTTAGGTCACAGGTGCTGTTTGAATCCCAAGCCTTCAGTCAGCATCACAACCCCCGTGTGATTCAGCAGAGGTCGCAGCTAGAAGTGCGGGTTAGGAGAACACTAGTGGAAATGTGGACTAACACAAAAACACCTCCTGCAGCAGGCCAACCGCTCACATTTTGAAGCCTTGGCTGATGGATAGAAGTATTGAGAGAGAAGTGGTGGGTGGAAGGGTTAGCTTTTCCTGAGCAGCAAAATTTTCCATATGCAACCTTTAGCATTCTGCCCTTTTCTCTTTTAGTGGTGGCACACCCAGTACTCGAATAACACCGGAGTTTTCTAAATGGGCCAGTGACGGTGAGTGTGAACTTGTAAATTATTAATTTGTATGCTACAGGAGGGCAGATAGATATCCCATATCTTCTGATTGCCAGTAATTAGGCAAATGGTAGTTACAAATGCTCTTGCACAGTACCGGCAGATATGTATGCACATACAATCGCACTATCTTTTTGAAACTTTACAGCACAATTAACTGTAGTCAGTGACGGCTGGGGGAGTTCCCAAAAATGCAACCTTAACTGGTATGGTGATAAGAGATAGGGGTTGGATTGACTTGCTGTCGTGTCACTAAAAGACAAACTGCTGTATCACAGAGGGAGCCATCAGAGCTTGACTGTGCGATGGTGGTGGTCAGCTGCTGGGGGTTTAAACTATGCAGGCACCTGTTGCTTGGGGTTTTTTCAACTGCTTTCTTATCGTCTTCCCTTCTTCAAAAGGGTATGCTAGAGACTTGTATCATGATCTGTTGGGTAGGTCTTGTCCTTGCTGGCCTCTGTATGGCAAGAAGAACCTGCAGCTCTGAAGCCTGCACCTTTAGAGTGGGAACTCTAGGATCTGTCCTACTTCATGACCTGTAGTTGAGCTCCAGAGCAAACGAGTAAATGTGAAATTGTACCTTTGCATGCATTATTTGAAAGTTCATAGCACTGGGGGGGGAGGGGGCAGCGTTAAACCCATTTGACTGCTGGGTTTTTTTATTTAATGCCAGAAGCACTGGAAGTGTAAGCAGCAACCTAGTGGAAATATGAGAATAATAAAACCCGGCGCTTTCCAGCTGTAGATGCCAAATCCATTTCCAGAGCTGGGCAGTGCTGCGTCAGCTCCCTTAGGAAGGGAACTGAAGCTCAGCGACCTGAAGAGACTTGTCCCAGTGATTTTGTTCCCTGTTCTGTTACTGTAATGCTTTGGGCATTTGATTCCCAGCCTTGAAAGTACCTACAAGACATAACTGCTTGCCAGTGCGGGGGGGCGGTGAGTAGAACCAGTTTTGCCAAGGGCATGATGATTAAATGGAGGACATAGGATATCTATCGCAGGCATTTTCTTCTGTGGGATAGGCAATCACATTTATATTCTGTGATGTAGGAGCACTCGCTTGTAGGTGTGTTCAGCTTCGGTAACTACAGCCACAAAGATGATGAGGAAGCAGCCCTGATGGCACTTGCTACGAGCCGTTTTCTTCATACCTTTTACCTGAAGCCATGGTGCTGAACCAGCCCAAGGGCTGGCCCTAGGACGGTTCATCTGGCTCATCTCTGACTGGTATCTCACATCCCCTCCAGTGCTGGGAGAGGCTATGGGGCTGCTGGTAGAGGAGAGCTATGAGCAGACTGTTCTGTCATACTAGTTACTTGGCATATATTTTTTCTCTCTGTCTGTGTCTGAGGGGTCTCAGGAAAAGGGAGAAGCTGAGAGCAGGGTCTGGGCTGGGTGGATTTGCTCCAGATCCACCTTTCTAGAAGTATACTTTGGCATGGCAGCTGCATCAAACCTTTCTGAATTAAATCCTGGCATAAACAACTGGAACATCTGCAAGGGTCAGTCAGTATCTTCAGCCCCGAATCATAGAAGCGTGCTGTACAGAGAGAGGGCCTTCCTGCCAGATAGGGACACACGTAGCATCGGTCTCTTCTCTCTCTTTCCAAGAATCGGCATGAAGATGACTCATCGGGGTCCTCTGCTTCTGAAACTGTAATTTGCTCAGACTATTTCATTGCAGTGATCAAATGTTCTCTTACTAATTTGTCTGTTCTTCCCTCAACAGAAATGCCCTCAACGAGTAATGGTGAAAGCAGTAAACAGGAGACCATGCAGAAGACCTGTAAGAACAGTGACATTGAAAAGTGAGTGTAATGTGGATAGCTTTCATTTTTCTTGTTTTAAGGAACCATAGTGTCCCATGTAGTGTTCCTAGAAGCAGTGCTGGTTTGAGGGTAGGTATATTTGAAGCTTTTACCACTGAGAAGGGAAGTTGTGCTCCAACATGAAGCCTGGACTTGGAGCTATTGGTGTCCTGACTTGCCGCTGCTGTGTCCACGGAGGGCCTGTGAGGAGTTCTCCCCCAGATATCTGCGTGGGCAGGTACCCAGTGACAAGGAATTGAGTACAGCTTCCAAAGGGCTTCTGCACTGCAAATTGCCTTCTTTTAAAATATGTAAATAGATACATCCATGCTTTCCACCATATTCTAGTTATGGTGGGTTTTCAAATATGTTGTGTGGTGCATAACAGCCTAGACTAGAGCTGGGACTTTGGGCAGGAGGAGAAGATTCAAACCCACTTTAACTTGACAAAAGCAATTGGCTTGCAAGATGTACTTTGATTTTTTTTTTTTTTTTTTTTTTTTTTTTTTTTTTTTTTTTTTTTTTTTTTTTTTTTTTTTTTTTTTATTCCCCCTGCAAGATTTCTGCTATCAATGTATCATGGGATCCTGCCTTTACTGGAGAGGTTTCCTTATCGTTGCATCTTGGGTTTTGAGGGCAGTCCTTCACATGGTCTATTCTGTTTTCTCCACGGTACCTGCATGTTCCACCCTCCATCTCCCCAGCAAAAGGGAACTCCAGCAGCCCCATAACTTGGCAGAAGCCTCACTGAGAGAATTTCTTTTTCCCTTAAGATCCAGATTTTACCTTTGTATGGTTGCTAATGGAAATAATGTCTCAGTTCCTGAGTTTTTTACCTGCAGCCCTTCCAGTTGATTCAGGAGTTTAAGTCCCAGTGTTTGAAGATACAATAGTGCAGGGGCTCCTGGCCATCTCCTTTCCTGTCCATTTTTGCTCCCTGGATATCCTGCAGCCTAAGTCCCGGGTAAAAACAAGTGGTTTTATCTGCACTGTGTAACACTGAGTAACAACCTCTATCCTCAGCATCCTTCCACACGCTGCTAGGGTGACTTACTGCTCAGGCAGATTTGACAATCCAAGCCTAAAACTACAGGCCCTTCACTGCTGCCATGGACTGCATTAATTGGGATGGGGCAGTGTTTTAAGTTGATTATTGCCTGACGTAAAATGTTGCCCCAAGATCAAGTGAGAGACAAAACAGCTTGAATGAGGTGGAAGCAATGAAGTAATTGTGGATTTTAAACAGATGGCATTTACATTTTGGGGATGAGGTCCATTGATAATTCGGGATGGGGAAAAAGTCTGGTGGTAGCGTTAAGCTAAAAAAGTTGGGTTTTTTTTAATCTAGTTTGTTCTCCTCCTGCCCCTGTTCCTGACTTGAGAGGTTGTGTCCCTGGCACGTTTTGGGATCTCTGACAGTTCAGGCAGCCTGGCAGAGCATATGTTCACAGTTAGGGGTTAACTGGGGAAACTCCCTGCTGCAGAGGAAACTTTTAACACTGCTTTGCTGTCTCGGCACTTTCCTTCTTACAAGGCTTTTTATTAGCATGTCCCAAATGTGGGCTGTCTGCTGTTCAATGCTTCTCGGTGAGCAGATTTTGGCCAAGGAGCACTGAGTTTGGGAGCTTGCAGGTCAGTGCAGAAGCAGCTTTGTCCTTAGAGTGAGCCAACCGTTGCGTGCTGTCTTGGTGGCAAGGACTCATCCCTGCTGGCCTAATCTGTCAGCCTCTGTCTCAGCTGCTGCTTGGCTTCCTTTTGGGCCTTCTGCCTGTCAGCCCAGCAGCCCTCCACCCTCCCAGATCCGCTCCTATTGAAAATCTTTAAACTGCAGGAGCTGAAAGGATTTGACATTTTCCAGAACACTTGAGCTCAAGTGATAAAATTGACATAGCTTTAATAATCTGATCAAAGAGGCTTTAGCTAGCACCTTTTGAAGGATCCCAGAATCTTTTCCAAACAACACTCATGCTAACGCTGCTGTGAAGTGTGGGGAGCATGTATGTGTGTGTGTGCGTGCACATGTATGCACGCACACCTTGCTCTGCAATAACCTTGCCCCGCTAAAGCTTCAGTTCTGCAAAAGGTGCAAAAAGTCAGCAAAAGCCAATAGAAATTACAGGAAAAGCCTTAAGTGTCTTGCTGAGTCTTTCCAATAATGTTGATTTTTTGAAAGTAGCAGGGAGAGCTTTTTATTTAAGTCGCTTTATTTCACTGAGGTTCAGAAAACAAGATGGTGTTTCAGGTGGAGAATTCCTAGCTGTGATAAATAGTTTCTGTCCTGCCATTTAAGGAGTCTGAATGCTCTGTGTGCTTGTCTGTGTAGAGGGGTTCTGTTAAATTAATTGATAACAGGGATCAGAGCTAGAAGCCTACAGAAAAGGAGGGGGAAGGGTTTCACACTGTCTGACTGCTTCCCACTCTACTGCTGAGCCATGATATATGGCAACCCAGCCCAACAGGCTAAATTGATTCATCTCTAGTTCCTGTTTCTTAATCTGGAGCTAAATTGGTTTCATTTTTCTTGTTTTGGGTGGCGCTTACAGGAAGTTTTTGGCAGCATCACTTTACTCCATTGTTTGTAACTTTAATTTTTGCCTTTAAATCTGAGTGCTATTGATTGGCATGTTAAACCCTGTGTAGCATCTGATTAGCATTTTTAAAAGTGTCCAGAAACACATGGCTTACCACCTGTGTCAGCCGTGCTCTCTGTTTAGAGCACCAGCTAATAGAGTTAGCAGCGATCCGCGTATTGATCCTTCTCTCATAAGAAAGACGTTCCTTCCCCCTCCCCTCTCCCAAAAATAAGTCTAGGCAAGGAGAGTGGTGTGGGTTGGTTTGTTTGTTTTTTAATCTGTTAATACAGTACAGCAGGCTGTCCTCCTTTTGGCACGCAGCTGAAGCACTTTGCTTGAGCAAGTTAATTGAATCTAAACTCAGGTTTTCGTGGAAGAGTCTCTTGCATGTAGAACGACTAGATGGGGTTTAGGGCAAGTCTGTGTTTGTTGCCCCGCTCCTTGTACCATGCCAGCTCATCAATAGCTTGGGCAGGTTGACCTCATCTGTGTTGTGTTGTGTTGAACTTCAGATGGCAGCCACAGGTAATGAGAGGTGGTACTGGTCCCACCTTTCCTTCCCAGCCGTGCCAGGTCGTCGATAGCTCGGGCAGGTTGCTCACCATTGACCTCATCTGCGTTGCGTTGAACTTCAGATGGCAGCCACAGGTAATGAGACACGTGGTGCTGGTCCCACCTCTCCTTCTTAGTGCTACAGGGTGTCTCAGCCCTGCTGAGCATTTCTAATCTCGCCAACGTGAGGTGTCTGGGAGACACCCTGGCGTGCTGAAGGCTCACCCCAGCCTTTGCGGTGGCTGGGGTCTTCAGCAAATGGGCAGAGCTCAGCTGGTGTGATGCTCCTTTACCTCTACTCAAGGTGCAGCTTTGCTTGGAGAGAGCAGCTGGTCCCTAATTGCCTAGGCATCCTCCCCGACTCCTGCCAATGTCATACTCTCAGCTGAAGCACTGTTGTGCACAGAGAGCTGCAAAAAGCACCTTCCCCGCAAAAAGTCTTCCTCCCTTCTCCCTCCTGAGATGCCGCCTGCTAGGGTCTGGTGCCATTTTGAAACCAAGGTTCCCCGGGGTTAAAAGCCAGCATCTTAATTCAGAGTGCCAATGTTCAATTTTGCTTTCTGCCACCAGACTAGATTGCAGGCCAGCAAGAGAGTCTGGGTTAGTGGCCCACTGGGTCACCTCCCATTTGTTTTCCTCAATTTTGTGTTGTCATAAATTCATTCCAGCCCGTTGTGGTTGATCAGTTTATCTCCGCCGGGGCAGGGAGCGCTGCGAGCATGATATATGGCACAGACCATTGTAGCCAGCCTCTCCATGAATCACTCCAGCTGTTTGGTGTCAGCCCCAAAGCAAACAGGACCCGGCCGCTGAGCGTTGACTACGATGAGCTCAGTATGGGAAGAGACATGACGTATGAATGTTTATTTAATAATTCTCTAATATTTCCAGCGGAGTGTGGCTGTGCCTTCTGGGGGGGGGCAAAAGGGAGGGGGAGGTTGAAGAGGGAAACTCTAATCTGTTGAGGTGGGTCATAAATCAGGCAGACAACATCATTAATCAGGGATGGGACAGAATTGGAAGGAGGTGGGACTGGAGCTGCCATCCTCGGTGGGAAGGGGGCTGTGCTCTTTTTTTTTTTTTTTTTTTTTAAAAAAAATTTTTTTTTTTTTTTTTTAAAAAAAATTTTTTTTTTTTTTTTTTTTAAAACAAATCTTGTTTCTGATTCTGCTTGGCCCCAGCCGTGCTGCCCGCATAATAGCAAACCCGGACACAAGGCTGTTTAGGTGAGTATGCTACCTCCGCTATAAACCTTGCGATACGAGCCTGCCAAGCATTAAATCCCTTTATAATTATCTTCTTTATATAACACTTCATGCTCATCATGCTTCATTGGATGAGACGCTCGTTGGGTTAAAAAGAGGGGTTTAGAGACAAAAAGCAATTGTATTTGTTTTATTTTTCCTGTCTCCTCTTTCCTTCCCTTCCCCCTCACCTCACCTCTTTCCAATCCAGCTGTTCTGACAGCATCAGCTCCAGAGGGGCTCTGGTGTGGCAGCGCAGGAAGGAGCATCAGTTAAAATTAAACGAAGTTTAGGTTGGGGTCCTTGTGCAAAGAGTCAAGCATGTGAGAGCAGTCAGGGAGGTAGGAGCGTCTGTCACAGGGACCCTGCTCCTGGCAGATGGGTCGAGATGGGAGCAGAGTGAGTGTGAAGACAGAGGATTAGCAGAGGCCTGAAAGGGAAGGAGCCACGCTTAAGCTGGTGTGTCAGAGGGAAGCAGAAGCTGTCGTGAATTCACACCAGAGGATAAGCGCTCCCCAGCCCTTCTCCATAGTGTCACACCATTAATAGGCTTTGGTGGGAGATAAGAACGTCATATAGCAAAGACAGAATTAAAAAATTAACCTGAGTCATAAATGAACTAACCCTTTGT